ACATGCACAAAAGAAACGGCCAGGTGCAGGCTGTAACAGATGGAAATATGAATAGTCCGTACGGTGTTCGCAGATGTAAAAAGTATACTGGGAATATTTGTCCTTGAAAATTGTGAACAGGACACTGATTTACAGTACACGATGTCCACTGGGACTATCGAATGCATGCGTGCTTTGCGAATCACAACGCGCCAGAGTCCTCATGAAAGCTGATGGCAAATAGATTGGTTTCCGTCTGACATGCTAGACCGTAGCGGCGGAACTCTGGCGGAAGCATTTATTCCAGAAGTCGTCCAGCATCGTGAAAAAGTGCAACGTATTGTTGTTAAGGGAATGGTCTGCGTTTGCGTACATCTGCAATAAACAGCACAGTGTATAGGCGTATTCCTGTTTTATTTAAGCGTACCATAAACTGGAACTGAACACCGGCTTTCACCAATGCTTCGACAAGTAGTGCGCTGTTTTGGAAATGAACGTTGTCTGAAAAAAAGATTAAAATTATGCAGCAATAAAAATTACATAAAACTTACATGGTCTGACTGGTTCACTAAATGATTAAATGAAGAATTCGACGGTGAAAAGCCCATTCGAATTTACTCAATATTACAGGGGAACGAACACAGAATGCAAGACCTATTCGAGGCTGAATTTGCATGAATTCCGCCACTCAACAAAAATTCCCTGTAGTTGAACTACTCATCGGTGCTTTCAACCTATCCAGACTCAACTGTCATCAAACAAAATGCAGCTTTTGAGTGCTTAACAGTGCATTAAGAAGCCATATGTAGAGGAACAATAATCTCATTAACAGCAGAAGCTAATTCAATTAAAGGAATGTACTCATCCTCCACAGACTTAGAACTAACCTAAACGTTCCCTCATTATGATAGTATAGTCCTGCAAGCAATTTAGACAGTAAATAGTTCTGCTACACTGAATCGGTTAACATTTTTTCTCACTGCATTACATATTTTTCGTAGCACAGCTATACAATGAAATTGGGAATTTACCGACAATCATATATATGATCAATCAATCATCATAATTAAATAAGAAAAATTTTACCATCAAGAGTGCCATGAACCAAAAGATAACTGCCTTTGCCGAACGCTGAGACGTTCTTCGTCAAGTCTGTATTCTGAAATAAAATTTTTTAACTGAAACGGGCACAGGATGAGCAGGTATTATCACATATAGTCGAAAGTACGCATTATCACTCGACAAATCACACTGCTTTATTTATGTACCCACTGAAACAATGATATGTTATTAAACGCTTACCAAAGGCTGTCGGGAATAAGCAATTAATTTCTACAGCCAATGAAATGTGGCTAGGCGCATCTCTCAATCCACTGTTTAAATGCTCTTCTCCCT